TCAATTACCAGATAAGGATCAAACGAGGGAAAAAGTTTGTAACTGATACGATCCACGTGGACCGGTTGAAAAAATATTGCGCGCGTAATAATTAAATTTGTCAACAACGTCAGGCATAATAGATTTTCGTTAAAAGAAAAACATCAGCGAAAAAAAAATGAAATAAAATGTATATACATGTAAAATAGACGTCCTGGGGTAAATGTGCTTATTGTACATACAAATCGATTTGTTTTTATTAAATGTTATGCATAATAAGTGAATCGAATACAAAAATTATTGCATTAATGTCGAAATTGCTGACATCGGGGTTCAAGTCAAGTACAGTATAGCAAAATTCGTCATTTGCTCACCTATCGAAATCAAGTTAAAATGAGAGTCGAAAGTCTGATTATTTCCATAATTTTTGCCAAAATTCCATTTTGTTGGCCAAATGAAATAAGTATAGTTTCGGGAGCATATTGGTCAGAATTGCCTTCTACTATCATTTATCAGTCTTCAGTACCGCTAGTTTATGTCGTCAAGATGCCTTTAGAAGAAAAATACGCCAGTACGAAGTCATTTTTGGAAGAATCCTGCGAAAACAAGACAAGTGATACGTGCCGATATTCAAGAATCTTGAAAAACATGAATTCAGTTATTAAGGAGCATCTTTGGATACTTTATAGGAGTCTGGGACAGAATGCGAAAACCAAACATGAAAATTCTCGGAATATACGGTCAGTAGAATTTTTGGGAGAAGCTTTAAATTGGTGTTGTGGGGTGTTAACAAAACACTCTGTAGATCCCTTGTTTTCAAATGAAGAAAAAATCAAATCATCCATGGATAAATTAGGATAAGCAGTGAATAAAAATCATGCAGATTTGAATAGCATAATTTTGTCGATTAAAAATTATAGCAGCCAAGTTAATTCAGTTTTAGCACACGGTGAAAGGTGCGTAGAAGAATTTTCAAGGAATTTTGACAATCTTCGCCAGTTCGCAAATGATAAATTAGATGAACAGAATAATGCAATGCAGCAGGTTTGGACATTTTTAGCAGAACACTCATACCAAAATTTGAACATGTTACAAGTTTTTAGTAAGTACGGAATTATTAGTCGCTGTAGAGATAATAAAATTCCAACGGAAATAGTAGAGCCATCTTGGTGGAAACATGATCTTGGAAAGTTGAATAATGCACTCAAGCAAAATGGGCACGAACTTGTTATCGAGCCCCAAGACATTACGAAGTATCTTAGATTAAATATCGCGTCTTGCTTAGCAACGTTAATTCTGTTGTTGTCACGATAAGAGTTCCAGTAAAGAAATCTGATTACGAATGGAAATTGTATCGTATGTTAGCAGTACCATTCGCGTGGGAGGAAGGAACTTGTGTTTTTACAGAAGATGAAGTTCTAGTTGCAAGGCACGAAAAAGAAATAAGAATTATTACAGGCAATGCCTTGAAATCCTGTAATCCGAGCGACGATCTTTGTTTATTACCGAGATCGAGTTCGACTTCAGTAAAGGATAAAATTTGTTTTTCAAAATCAGTAGGCGGCGCTCCAGTTTCAGAATTAGTTAAAGCATGTCAGCCCTATTGCTTCGAAAATAATAATACAGTAGTCAACCAAATAGAACCAGAAAAATTCATTATCACTCACGCACCTGCAAACATGGTTTTAAAGTGTGATAATAGTTCTCAGCAAATTAAAGTTAATAAAAAATTAGATTTAGGGTCACTAGAAGTTGAAGTTCCCTGTTCTTGTTCACTTCAAACAGAAAATCTGACTTTGGTGTCTGACACATTTCCGTGTGACGCCAATGGTGTCGAAAAGTTTAAAATAAGACATGTATTACCAGCTACTTGGTCAAAATTCGAGTCTTTTAAGTTGAAACCGATGGCAACTCATACTCATCTAACATTTGAAAATTTCTCGGAATGTCTAGATGAAAATTGGAGAAAACAGTTACCGGATTTCAGAGGAGAGGTTTCTGGTGAAGATTTTCAATGGAAAGGAATTAAATTGGATAATTTCCTTCCCGACCACATTAGTTCATTTCTTGGAATAATTTTATTTAATTATATCGGTATTTGTGGAACTTTCATGATACTCATAATTGTCATTAGAAATCCGTATTTGATAGGAATAGGTATGATACCGCGTGTCCAAGCAATGGATTGGAGTATCGTGTTAAATGACATTAGTGGAATTAGTGTCATTATTGCAGTAGTAAGTTTTATAATTTGGTTTTTTTATCGTTATGTACGAGCAAAGAGAGATCGAAAGCAAATTGAAGAAATTATTGTACAGGGTACTTCACTGGAACCACCGATAGTCAAAGAGACTTTGAATGAAAAAAGTCAAAGCAAGAGTAATGCAATAATTATTGGACAAAATTCAGCAAATAGCAGGCCTAATACAGGAAAAAAGTAAATCCTGAATGTTTTGTGTACTTTTTTAAAGATGAGCAGAAACTGATACTTGTAAGTAATTTTGAGAGTCGACTCTGTTTTCATTATTTATGGTTACCAAAAGGTTACCTACACTTTGTTTTTATAATTAATGGTTACCAAATGATAATTAGGTACCTTGTTTGTAAATGACCGGAACTTACCTGTACTTTGTTGTTTTCTATTGGTCAACACCAATGTTTTTGATTTAGTTAGTACCTACAACCTGTTTGATGTATTGGTACACTCTGTACAGTCCTACCTCTACATTGATTATTTTAACATTTATACCATGTCTTGTAAATAAATAAGTGGGAAAAATGCGTTTTAAAAAATAACCTGGGAGGTTGTTGAATTTTAGAAATAGGTAAATAATTTTGGTTGATTGATAACATTTGAGAGGATTCTAGGTTAGGAAAGTATTGTTCTGAGAGACAATCATTATAATTGAGAAACAATTCTCAATACAGAAACTTTCAAGGAAGGCTATAGTAACTTTATAGGATTTCTAGAAAAAAAAACGTCATGCATTTTGAAAGTTATTGTTTATTTTCATTTTTATATAATCGCTTGCAGCTTTCAAATTTAAGCTTTCGCGGAAATGTAATCGATACCAGGATCATCAAGAATCCTGAGGAATAATGTTCTTTAAGTTTAAGGACTTTTAGGTATGTGAACAACAATTTTCTGTGTATTTTTTTTTGTTCACAGTGCCAGTCGTCGCTTCCAAGGACTTCGGACGCTCATGGCTGAAGCTGCAGTTGTTCGAAACGTCGGGACGACGTTTTCAAGAAGGGGGAGTGTCGCGAAAATACATAGAACACTCTGTATATCAGTCTCTACCCACTTCATGACCGAGCTATACGCCAGATTGTCAAGTCAGCAAGATGCCCACAGCGTGCGGGGGACTGGGGGAAGCAACGACTCAAGCAACTGCATTTTATGTATTTGTACCGGCAGTTGTACTTAACATCGTGACATTGTTACAACTCACCAATAAACATCTAAATCGAACCTTTTGGCCTATAAATTCGCCCCAAGTCCCCAAGCAGTGTCACAATATGTTATGTTCTGTTATACGTATGTCGATTTATGCTGTACGTCCATATCTACAAAATTTTGTATTCACCGGTTCTTGTACAGAGATATATTTCAATATAAGTGCATGGGGATCCATTCAATAATTCATGTACCTTCATGTTATACACCACTCTATACACTTCTCAGTGTCTCAGAGTCTCAGATTGTCTGCCAAGGAGAGTTCTTATGATGGCTTCCCCAAAAATCAAGACATATGCATTATACGACATTTTCAGTAGGTATAATATGAATTCATCATGACAAGAGAGCGTTCCATGTTTTGAATTCAGTCAAAAACAAAAATCAAGTAGGTCTATGCCGTTTCCAGAGAACGTGTACATCGTTTCTTTGTACAATGGAATGAACGTAATAGTCTCCATCAGAAAAAAACATTAGTTATTCATTATACAAGTGAAGAATGTAGTAGATTTTTAAAACCGTGAGCAGAATTCAAATATTCTTCCCGTGTATAATGAAGTATTTTTTTCTGTGACAGGAGGAAGAAACAATCAGTATTGAAATGATATTACATTTTATTAACATCAGAAAATTATCGAGGTGAAATTTGAAGTATTCAACAGGATTAACACCCACGTTGCAGGCATCTTCTAGTAAACATCTTCATCATTTCTTTGAAGTTATCAAATATTTGTCAGTCTTTTTCTGTGATCCGATTTGAAAAAATTGCACACTTTGTGGTTGTTCAGTGTTTGGATAACCGTGAAGTGGAATGAAAGATAAAAGGACATACAGTTTTTTCTCAAAGAAGGTGTCATTGACTTTTTCGTAACTAGCACAACAAAAGCTATCAACATTGTATACATATTTCCAGGAAAAAATTCGAAACCAGCACAACAAAAGCTATCAACAGTGTATTTATATATGTAGATGAAAAAAGCTCATAATCCGTGGGAAAACGTTATTTATAAAAAGTGACATTTCATCACCTGCCAACATGGATGAAAGTTCAAACTTTGTTCCCGTCACAAGAAAAATATTTTGTAAGAGCAGGACATGCGAATGACCTTGAACATCAGAATAGTTGTTCTCTCTAGCTCTCGACCAATAATTCAAAACCAAGAAGAGGGGTTTTCGACGAACTCGAAAAAATCGATATCGATTTGAATATTATGAAAATTCATTAACCAACTGCTATGATTATGTAGATAATAGCATGTTCTACAAGATAATGTACAGAGTGGAATTTTTGATAGTTGATATATTCAGCGATATTACATAGAACCGTAGAACAAAAATGAGCAAATATTTTCCCTATCGACCCTTATATATTGAATCCCTAATATGTCGATTTTTTCTTATATATGAATACATATGCCAAAATGTCATCTACTCTGGGACCAAGTCTTGAAACAACCTGTATTACGATGAAATGATTATCATTGATTGTGCTGAGTTCCCATAGTGAAATACATAAACGTATCGTGCTTACTTTGAGATAATTATCTCCCATGACTATCTTTAGTTGCAGATATGGATCTCAAAGAATACAACTTCCTAATAGTCTATTTCTTGACTCATGGAGATTATTTCAACAAACTACACACCAAGGATGGAACTGTTAAGGCTCATGACATCTGGGAACATTTCAGAAAATGTAGATCACTGGAAAATAAACCGAAGATGTTCGTGTTCCAGGTGAATGACATAAAATTATATTTTCGTCATCTTATATTATTACAAAGCTATCGATGATATGAGTGTGGCGAGTGTGTGAAGTATCGAATTCAAAATGTGTTATCTACAGACGCAATGATGCACGAAAGTTCCACTGTTTATACTGAAATCATTGAATTTTGAAGTCATTACTTGCAGAATTAATAGCACTCATTCAAACTATTCATTTTTTCCTGCTGAATGGAAGATTTCGCCTTATTTAATATAAGATGGTATTTGTATGTGAACAGATTCGAGTAGTCGGTATCTCAGCGCTTTTATTCATTTTAGGAGGTAACGAACAAGAATTCTTGGACGGTTCCGAGATATTCGCAGAAATCATTTGAATTTTTGTACCTTCTAAATTTTTTAGCCCAAAACTCGAAAACTATACATTTCAACAAAAAAAACACCGCAAAATAATTCGGTTCAAGTTCGAGTTAGTACAAGAGAAGTTCAAATTTCCTCACCTCTGAATGTAAGAATCACAAGTATGGAGCTACAGCAAGTTAAAGATCTACCAGATTCACGTACCTACTGTTCACAAAAAAGCGTGATCGGTCGGATCTAGCAGATAATTCATCTACGCATTTTTCGAAGAAACGAACTATGCTGTCTGAGAAATATACTTTGGGATCACCGCAAGTGCGGTTAAAACAACTATCTCGGAGTGGGCGGAGAGGAAAACACTCACATACTAGTCTTAACTACCAGGATCAACCCATCGAAAAATATAGCCAGGCAGGGATAACCTTCGAACCCTGACATGACTGCCTATGGAACACTGTCGCCTGAGATACTAGAAAGAATGGGTCTGAGCCAACTAGCGGACTGTCGGTTCTGCTATGTGGAAGACGAAACGGCTGAACACATATTATTTTCATGCTCTTGCTTGAAGATGATGAGGTTCGACATATTTGGCTTCACCAATTTAGAACCTCAGACGAGTCTCACCTGATTCCACCATGGACTTCGTGAAGGGTTGAGCCACGATAGACCCATCTGGAGTCACAGCAGTGGAAGGACGGTAGTCGCTCCAGTCACATGGAACCTAACCTAATCTAACCTATACTGTCTGATTCGAAAAGTCATGAACTTGCGAATACTTGCCTGTGTCAACGTGTAACTCGACTCTCGTCTCGTCACTGTTTTCCAGTAATACTGATGAAACGAGAAAATGAAGATACTAACAAATTGTTAACATTAATTTTCGAATGATCATAACGAAAGCCCTGTCAAACTGCTCAGGAAAAAATTGGAGTGTGCAGTATGTCGTCATAGAAATCGATCAAGTAGAAAAGATGAACTCGAGTGGGGTAACAACGATCAAAATACGTCATCCAGTTAGACCGCTCCAAAAGCCGTTCACTTTCTCGCAAATCAATAGTTATTCATGATACAAGAATCGTAAAGATTTCTATATGAGACGGAAATCCGTCGATTATCGTATCATGAATTTACTAGACAAATACCGTACAATATTTCACCTGTGTTGTTGAATAATCAGTGTTCAGTGCTGAAATATGAAGAAATATCAGAACTTTGACTCACAGAAATATATAATGAGAGGTAACAAATAACGTGTCGGTCTCTTGAAAATGCCCTGTGGGGTTCGCATATCTGCTACATGTACAGCTCCATCTTCATCATCATGGGTTTTCACTATTATTCCCAGTGGCCACATTCCACGAGGTATATTATTTTCGTTGATAATCACCATGTCTTCTATTTTGAAATTTCGTTCTCATTCTGTTCATTTTGGTATACTCATGAGTATTAGGAGGTATTCTTTCAGTCAACGTCGATAAAATTTGTCTAACAGATACTGGGATAGCTGCCATTATTTCCCCAAAAATAAATCCCTTTCAGTGAAAACTCATTAGGGCATATGCTGAACAAATCGAAAATGGGATCATAGGTAATATGTGACAACGGCCCGCTATTAATCAGATATTCAGCTACCGCGGAAACAGTTTGCAATACTTGAATGAGGGAGATAAAGGTGGAATTTTCTTGAAAGTTATACTTCTGTTCGTCATTTTATCCATAATTGGAAGCGTCTCTATCTCCGACAAAGCTTTCGTTGATTCACGGCTTGCCCTTCGTTTATTCTTTACATTGTCTGACCATGAATCCCACCGATCCTCGTCTAGCTAAGGATCGTCTTATCGCCATAATACAAGAATAAGTGCTTAGGGAATGGGCTATATCCACATGGATTGCCCTCACTGTGAGGCATGCGAACAGTACCCTGTAGCGTTTCTTGATTCTTCTATTATTTGAAAGGGCCCAAAACAGTCCTCCATTAGCTGAGAACGGCTTCTCATACACCAGCAATCGCTCTTTCGGAAATAATTTCATTATAGGTTGTGCTCCTTTGGCAAACCGACGTTTGCAATACGAGCAAGTCCAGATGATCTTCTTCACTACAGATCGGATTTGTGGAATCCAGAATTTTTTCGACAACTCGTTCATTACCGTTCCTACCCCCTGATGCATATTTTCTATATACAAACTAGAACGACAAGTTTCTTTTGACCACGGTAGAAGAAACATGGTGTCTCCAGGCCAAAATTCAGGTTAATGTATGTGAAGTCCATGATTTTCTAAGTACCTGATCTGGATGTGTCACACACACAATATAATCTCACAAATCAATGATCAGAATTTTGATCTTACAAATTCTGCTCGTAATCTTGGATTAATCATGGATTGTGGTCTCAACTTTTCCAACCATTTTTTCTATAACAATCAGAAAAGCGTACTGTAATCTTAAGTTACTCTACACTAATCGACACTGGTTGAACTATGAATGCAAAATTGAATTGTGTGATGCTCTAGTATTGTCTCACTCCAATTATGCTGATAATATTTATGGACCCAATTTACGTAAAATAGATTGCAGGCGAAATCAGCTCTTTCAAAATTTGCATGAGATTCATCTGTGGCATGAGGAGGCGAGACCATATTACAGATCCGTTAAAACGAATTGGTTGGCTTTCAATGGAAAAAAGACGATCAGCACATGTATGTGTTTTTTTCATAAAGTCATGAAATATCACATTCCATCATATCTGTACAGTAAAATGAAGTTTCGTTCACAAGAGCACAATGTTAATTTAAGACGCAGACACCTGCTAACTGTCCCCCCTCACCGAACGAATGCATTCAAAGGCTCTTTCACATACCAAATAACTAACACATTCAATAAAATACCGGATGGCATGAAAAGCCTCAAAACAAATATATTTCGATATCATGTCGAACAAATATTATTTGAAAGGGTCCTTTAGGCAATTTTCGATGACATATTCTTATATACATTTTATTTTCTTCATAATTATAATTCATGAGTTTATTCAGCATCTTCACATAATCTGTAATGCGTCATGTCCTTTACTGGCATATTTTTTTTCTTTTCTCTCAAATTTTATATATAATTAATCAGTACAGAACTGTTATGAATAATATTGAATAATTAGTTTCACTTCGCTAATTTTAGCAAATCTATAATGTATATCTTCAATAATATATACGTGTAGGCTCCTGATTGTAATTTTTCTAATCTTTTTTAAAGGTGTTAGAGTCATATATTTTTTTTTTTCTCATATTATACTCAATTATTGTACAATATCTTCAAGGTTGAGTGGAAGAGCGCTGCTCTCTGCTTCCTGCAGTTAGCGCGAACTCTGCCTTTTGTAAACATTTAATGTAACACGGACTTTCTGATTCAAATTATTTTTTTATTCATTGTTGACAATAAGAGCATTATTATTATTATTATTATTATTATTACACCTGTATTATTAAGTCCAGTTTTCAAATCTTCTCGAGTGCAGTCGACAGCCACATTTTCCAAAGTTGGGACCCATTTCCATTGTTTAGGGCCAGTATACTCCAATATGTCACCTACCCTAACTGCGACGTATGTTAGGAGTTTTTCAATACTATACAGCCAGTGCAAAAGCGTTCTCGAATCCTTTCAATATTGCTTCTGGTGGAATTCAAGGTCCAGGTAACTGCTGCTAGAGACAACCTCACACTTGAGAGAATATACTCGAGCCCCTGATGTTACCAGTATGACTTGAAGATGCCAATTCCGAAACTCCATTCGTAAATAAATAGCTGTTGCGTAGGCGTCTTCACTGGTATCTGGGAATACATGGAGTTCTGTGGATGTAGCTGCATTCAACTGTAAAGAGTGGCATCCAGGAATTTCTAGTTCCATCACTCCTCTCAGTTCGTTGAGCCAACCCAGCCATGTCTTGTACATATTGTCAGTGATGCAGTCACCCTAACCTGAACCTGCACCCCATATCTTCTGAAGGAGAATTATCACTTCGATTATATTCGGCGAACGCATACCTATTGGATCATATACAAACACCGCTGTTTTCAGTACTTGCCTTCTTGTGGGTATTTTTGTTCCATTTTGTATTGCGATTGGTATATCATGGAATTTCAGTTTGAAGGTGGAGCAATCCTAATCAGGTTCCAAAATGAATCCCAAAATTCTTTCAGGATTAGAGTTTATGTCAACCTCTGCGGCCAATTGAGTTTCAGAAACAAGATATTTCTGTATACCATCTATGACTCTCCTCGAATTAGAAATGAAGTTCCTAATCACAAATTCTCCTTCAGAATGTATTGGAAAACATTATTCACCATATCAATTGCTTTCTTTTCGCCATCTGTTGAATCCAAATTATCATCAACATCATGATTTTGAATCATTGCATTGTGATTCTTCATAATTCGAGCAAGAAACGGTGAGGAAGTGATCCCAAATCATGGCAGTCATACGATATACTCTTGGAAGCATATTCTTCTTCAAACCCCGCCACAGGAAATACTGGAAAAAGTTATCTTCGTCTGCAATTTTAACCCTATTGAACATTTCACAAATGTATCCAACAAAGGCAATCTTTCGACATTTCAGTAGAATGCCGAAGAGTGAAGCTAGTTGGTCGGGACCAGTGAGT